AACTAATTATTCGAGAATGTTTGTAAAACAAATTAAAGTGTGCGTCTAGTCTTAATTATATGCGTCATTATATCGTGTATAAATTAAGGGTATAATGAGCATGCGATATCGATTCAATACATCTATCATTGCGGCAGGTTCTCCATGATAATGAAAGAGGAAGCGCGGCTGATGAGGTTGCAAAATATTAATTTCTATATTACTTCCGCGCACAAGGGGGGAAAATCCGTGATAAAAGGAGAGAGGAAGAGCTAACGTGTGCTCCGATTTTCCGATATTTCCTTCACACAGATTGCGCGAGTGAAATATTTATTTATTTCGAGATGTCGACTCGAAACGAGACGACGATCTTATAAGATACGCCGCTGTAGCTGTTGCACTCATCGATTAACCATCCTACCGGTTTTCCAAAGTACATACGTTCATATCCACATAACGGTCCAACGGGTGACCACCGAGGGTTCGGTGACAGCCGGAGGACAGACCGGTTGCTCGATTCTTGGTAAATCGATGTCGTCTTTTATAGAACAAGACATATCATTGTAGATTTTAACTCTTTCGGATCTGCATTTCTTTAGCTTTGGTTTAAAACATTTTATCATTAAATTATTGCATTTAAATATATTATTATATTTATATACATATTATATACACAATATTAAATGTATTCTTATTTATTTAATTTTATTATATTTATAATGTACTAAATATTAACATATCATATAATTTTCTTTAAGAAAAATAAAGTTTTATATAAATAACGAATAAAATTATATAAATTTAATGTATAATTGCAATGTTGTGTATATATAATTTTAAAATTATATATTATACAATTGTTAATATATATTACATAAGAATTGTATAAATATATATTATACAATTATTTAATTGCTTAGATATAAGATTTAATTGCCAACTATAACATACAATTATAATATTATAATTTTTAAATATATTTGTAATATTAATTTCATATTTATCATATTTTAATATTATTATATATACTATATAAAATGCGATACAATCATACGAAATAAATTACGCCATATAAAACATGAGAAAATATTTGGATATCGCGATTAATTTGTTACAGTCTGACGTTTCTGCTTATGATCCAAGGTTGCGGTTTTCTTTTTTTTATCATCCGCTGTTTTGTATACCAAGAATGATGACCCTGAAATAAATTAGCAAGCCCGCCAGCGCGTGACGTAAATCTAATTTTCGTTGATGGACGCAAAGCGAGTGCAATGGGCCGTGATAAATCGCGATAGGTCCGTCTGATTAATCGCGGAAACCTGTATGTATTTACCAATCAGGCAAATCAGTTTTCATTTGTCAGAAAACAAGCCAGTTAACTGACAGTTTAATAGACTCTCACGGTCTCTGTGATTGGGAGTTACGTCGATAACCGAATGTCATTTTTGTCGGCTCAAAGGTGGTTTCCATCTCCGAGCCGTCGAAGGACGCTTAAAATAACGAATGCTTGTTCCATTTGCGAGGACTCGACGTAAAAGACGGCGTTTCTTTGTAGATGCAATATGCTATTGATTATCATGTATACATACGTAGAGACAAACGCATCACCACTACGTAATGCGAGATCGTTGAATGAATCACTGATGAGCGAGTCCTGGCAACGCTGGTCGGTCGGCCAGCAGAAATTCCACGGATGCGCCGCTACATTTCGGCGAAGCGTACAATTGGATCGTGTGTAGTTCACGCGTACGTGCCGGATTCTTGCTTCGTTCAAACGAGAAACCCCTGAATACACACGTGTGCGAGTCGCTAATTCGAACGCAGAAAGGCACGAAGAAACGAACGAGGATAGACGACAACCGTGAGTCACGCAGCTTGCGTTTATCCTTGTCGCATTGTCATCGTTACAGACTCGTTCTTTGTTTTCCCTCCTAAAACCGACATACGCAATAGTATGCTCATCCTTGAGTTAATTCTGATTACTTTAATTAAATTAGTTGCATGATAGAAAAAAATTCAATTAAAATGATCTAAAAATACCTAAAAATTATAATTATGTAAAGAAATTTTTAATATAATTTTCTATAAAATTTTATCAATTTAAATAGATAATATAAGCTTAATTTAATTACATTAAATACATATTATTTTAAAATTAAATACTATATAATTGACACATACAATCGTTTTAGGAACATTATTTAATTACGAATTATAATTAATAATTACATTTAAATTATAATTTTTCATTTATTTTTTTATAATATGGATTATATGAATTAGTACGTTAAATATAATAGATTCGATTGATGATTGAGATTAATTTTATATGCACGGTATTTTCAAAGATTGAAAGAATCATTCAACAACTTTGTTATTATTACTATATGTGGTGTTTATATGTCTTGAATTGCAACAATAATAATGAAAGGGCTGTCACTTTTAAAGTCTTGATCTCTCCCTATTTCATTGCTGAATTACTGATAAATTATTATGTACGTATCGATAAATCGCATATATAATATCGCGAAAAGAATGTTCAATAAAACGCGCTGATTCGCCTCATTTGTTTCCACTTGAACTTGGGTCATTACACCGGCTTATCTCGCCACCGTATGATATCGTGTGCGTGGGCGCACAAATGTACAAATAACGAGAGAAACCAGTGTATAAAAGAAATTATCGTGTACTCATTAGTCACGTTATTTAAAATAAAAAAAGATAATGAGCTCGTGATATACGTTTTTTTCTTTTTCTGATTGTATATAATATTCATCATCGAGGAAAAAGATCTTTCTACGAGATATATAAATAAAAGTATATAAAGTATATAAAAGTATAAAAGTATAAAAGTATAAAGTATATAAAAAGCCTCGTTTTTATGTCATGATTGATGGGAACAGACCTATATTCACGAAACTTTCAATCGTAATCTTTATTTGAATGCGGAGAGAGAATGTGGGACTAGGTGACTCAATGCAAAGAAATCCTGGAAAATCGGTCGCCCGATTTTGCTCTGATCAAAAGACCCTTTGAAGTGTATGAAAAAGGAAGGAGGAGGAGGAGTAGCCGGGTTACTATTTTTCGCCACTCTTTCATGCCCTACGAGACGAGAATACACACGTCGGCGCCCAGTTTCAGAGCAGACGGTGCTGGAAATAAGACGCGGGAGGAAAAGCTTAAAAACAAAAGAATTCAAGAGAGAGAAAGAGAACACGAGAGAGAGAGAGAGAGAAAAGACGCCGAAACGAGAGACACGCTAGTCTCGTGCACTACTTCCGGGCTCCTTCCTCGTAACGAGCCCACCATTCTGCTCTGGCCCGTTTTTGAAAGGAAATTTCCACGAGAGACAACCGTTAACAAAGAGAGAGAGAGAGAGAGAGAGAGAGTAACGTCGTGTTCCGTAAAGTTAATCGGTTCGTCCGTGATTTTTCTCATTATCACGTAGTAATACGAAAGAAGAAAAAAATAATGGTATTAAAAAAATTTATTTGATAAAAATTTACATGAAATGATGAAAGTTTTTTTGCTAGATTTTATTGTAGAAGAGAAACAATGTAATTTAAACTTTTAAATTTGCAATAATAAAATCATTAAAATTATCTATTGTAATATTACGTTATTAAATCACGAGAGATAGAGTAATATTAAATAATTAAAGTTATATATAATTTCAGTTCCTCTTCGCTGTTTATTTCTCATAATCTTATTTTTGTAAGAATAAGAATTTGTAGAGTTAAAGGTAGGAGGTGAAAATTTGAAAACATTATATATGTATTTATATTTTAAAAGTCCGCAATTTTTTATTAAAATTATTTTACGTTGTGAAGAACAATGGCTTCAACTTCGAAGAAATTCTGAGATCTCATGCTCGTATCACTTTTACCATTTTGCTTCCTCGTAAACATTTTCTTCATAAGAGACTCGATTATATTACATTTAATTCTACCGTGGCGTGTCGTTTCGAAATGAAGTAATTCATACGTGCGTTGATATGATATGGAATATCTCGGACACATGCGTATCACGAAGTGCGTGTATGCGTGTCGCGTATAAGTGTGCGTGCATTTCTGACCCGATGCGTCGTGTCGGGGCTGCCATCGCGTTCGTTCACTCTTTATAAATAGAAGCTTTAAATTCTGTCGCGAGACTCGGGCGTGGCAGGCCGCAAGAGGAGAGATCTACGATGATCCTAGTCACGAAATGCATACATACATCATTCATCGCGATCCGCTCATTCTTTACCCTCGTCTCGCCCCGCCCCGCCTCGCCGCGTGCTCAGTCTCGGTAATTTTCTTTCATCTCGTGTTATTTCACATAACATTCACCGCCGAAATACCTCATTAGCCCCGTAAATGGTACATGGTGTAAGTAATGCAGTAACGTTTTACATCATCATTAATTTGCATTTAGTGGAAATATTTTTCATTTCTCTTTTTTTTTATTTATCGTGTTATCAGGTTCCCAATATATTTTAATTATTTCCTTGAAAGAAAGAAGAATACTTATTTTATATAATTTTTATTTTATTCCTTGAAGTCACTCCTTCACACAATTTCATATCGCATTAAAATTTATATTATTAAGAAAATACATGTCAAAAATATTTCTTCTATAATATTTCTATAATTATTAAGATTTCATGTTTGACATTTCATGTTTCTGTTTATAAATCTTAAACGAAAATAGTACATCGAAGGCTTTATAGTCGCTTTGAATCGAGTCCTGCGGTCGATTTAGCGTCTTCGAATTGAGCGGCTTGAATTGGCACGTTTGAAATTTAAGCTGGGTATAAATTCCGAGAAAAGTTCTTTGTCGCGCATATCGATGTTGCGTAAATCAGGCGGGATTCGCGGAACGAGTAGGTAGTAAAATTCGCTCGAGGCACGATCGGTACGCAAGTAGGATATTATTCGTTGTCCTGTGCTGACGTCGACATTCGCATCGTTTCTAAGTACTTATCTCTTATCTCTTATTTTTTGCCTCTTTCGATTTTAACAGATGTCATTCTTTTGTTACAGACATTTGCACGTGTATACGAGAACCACATTGACATGCCGTCTCTTCTGTAAGGTAAGATATTATCTTTTATTGGGCGTTTTTCAGTAAACGACACAGAGAACACAGTGTATCATCTCATCCTTGTTGGCTGCCGAATGCAAAGAAAGATGAGATGATTCACTGTGTTACACTGTGTCTTCTGTGTCGCTTGCTGAAAAACGTCCATTATCAGCTGACGTACTCCTATTTAATCCTAACAGAACAAGAAGGCAATGAAAAAATTAAGAGAGTTTTTTCGGTTTCTAATTTTTATTATGACTGAAAGTTTATTAATATATTTATTTTTTGAAGAAACAATTAATTTTAATAAAATTAATTTTTACGCACATTTTATATTATTCTTTTATTATCATTATATACCATTATATTTTAATAAATAATATTATGCAATTTTTAAAAAACTAATTTATTGAATATAATTTCTGCGACATTTTATTTTACAATCAATTCATGAATTTATATTTTAGAACTTGGTTCTGTTAGAATTGATACAGTGATAAATGCGTGTATTTTTATCAGAAATCACACGTTAAATTGTCATAATAATTATTATTCGGGCGACCATCGAGCGAAATTTCTGATCGAAAATTTAGAGAAAGAATCTGCCAACATTTTTCTATACAATACAAAAACAAAAACAAAAGTTCGCGATAAGTAAAAAGCTATTTCTTGCAAAAGAGTTCGCATTATTCCGTCCCAAAATTGTTGTTTGATTGTACTACAAGACCGACATTATTTTACATTCCATCGCGATGAGAGAAAAAGAGAGGAAGAGAATCGATGTCGTCGCGGATGGTCGCTCGACTGTAATCGTTCCGGGAAACCGGAAGTGCGTAATTACTTCACGTATCGAATGGAAAATTGTACGCCGTTGTTTGACGGCTTTTGTATGCATGCCAGAATGTGTACCACCCGAACTTTTGCAGCTATTCCAGCCGAAATTTACATTCCACGAACGTGGAAATGCGATTTTAGATTTGCGAACTAACAATGATTCACAGTCATTCACATTGATTATGCAGGTATAGATTTTTCAATGTAGAATAAAAATAATTACGCTTTAAAAGCGTTTTAACAGTAATTATATATTACTTTATATATCTCGTGGTCCTAAATAAAAATATTTTCTTTAAATTTTTCTCATCCAAAATCATTATTTTGCAAATATAGAACTCTACGATAATTGTTTTTATGATTACGAGTAACATTCAGCTATTTCCAATTCGCTAATTTTCAGGACAAATTACATATATATAATACTTAATGATTGCTTAAGATATTCAGTCTGTCATGATAGATACTCAAGTTCGAATATATGTTATTTATTAACAAATAAATATCATGTTTCTCTCGATAAAACATTAATTTAGGGAAAAAATTAGATAAGTTATATTGATTAATATAAGAAAATGAACATGATATGGTCAATAAGTCTGTTATCTGGCTCCAAAACTGATTTACGATCGTTAAATTATCTCCTTCAATTCGTGTCATATATTCTAACGTATAAATTTTCACATTGAAATCTTCTAGATGATATCTCTTAGAGTTGGTAGAAAATTATGCCGACCGCATTCTCGAGCATAACATTTGCACACGCGGCTTCTTCAATGCACAATATTAATTCCGAGTAAGCGTATATCATCCTACAACAGGAATCGTGTCAAGGTCGCGTCTACTTTTATTGATAAAACTATTTTATGAATGCAATCAATTTTTTAAAACTATCATTCATGAGATAGTTGTTTTCCAAAATTGCGATATTTAATAAATTTCACATTTAATATCTAGTATTAAATGGTAAATTTAATCTTTATTTTATATTTAATATGGAATATTTCTTTATATCACACACACACACACAAAATATAAAATATTATATATTTTTATATCGCATAAAAAAGTAAAACTCAGAATTGGAATTTCCGTCAATCTTTGCATTATTATCAATCATAGTCGAGCGAAATATAATTAAATCAATATGACTACACATCAAGTTAACAACTTCTATTTGCAGTAATCAATAATCATGATTAATAAAGAAAATAAACAGGACGGAAATAATTATATCGGTCATCACTTAATTTATCATTTCATTCAGTCATTAATTAGAAAATAATTATGCTCTTGATTATGATTGATGCAATAAATTAATGTAACGTTAAAAACCGATGTCGATGTCCTTTTTTGCGATTCTTCAATTGATTATAAAATAATAATTTACTATAAACAATAATTATTATTTATACCGTGAAATAAAAAATAATCGAGTAAATTAATTACTGCTTAATAAGCTCATCGCAATTTTCGCGCTGATATGAACTTTTTTTTGACACAGTTTTGAAATTCTAATTAGAGCTTTTATTTTATAAATGTCAAAAGTTGAAGATAAAACGAAAAAATCTCAGAGTAAATTCTATTGTTTGACGCGCATATTTTCGACGACGTCGCACTTTATCTGACGAACTTTAACGTCGCGTTATCCAACTATGACACCTTAATAAGAACCGGCAGCGCTAATTCTCGGCGGGTTTCCCTACGTTTCCCCCGGTCCATCGTCGTCGTCAGCTGTGCGAAGGTCAGGGTCGCGCGCACACGCGCTCAAGAGGGTGCAATCGATGCAACGCCCCTCGCCGGATGCAGTTACCATGACGACCATCTCTCCTGACCCCTATTGCCTAGAAGAGCGAGGCGGACGGCAGTCCGTCGACATACGAAGAGAGACCGGGAATTGAGTATCAATCCCTCCAGTTGGACGCGCGAGAGAAAGAGAGGGGGAGAGAGAGAGGGGTGACAGAAGGTGGCGGTGCGTTTGATGCATTCCCCGTCTTCTCGTTCTTCTTCCCGTCTACGATTCGTTAAAGGCGACATTCCGCACAAGGAATTCCTTCCGCGTACTTGTTCGCGTCTCAAGGCGCGATCCGTTTTAAAACAAAAAAAAATATACTCTAGTGCGCGAACTTAATTTCTGCGAAAAGTGCTCGCGTATAACCGTGTCGCCCTGAAGTAACGTTTTCTGTGTTTTCTTTGACCTCATTATATCTTTGAGTAGTGATAAACATTAATCGGTGGACACAAATAGTGGAGAAAATAAATGAAATAAAAATATGTGTAGAATTGAAAATTTATACATATAATTTTAATTAATAATTTAAACCGTTAATAAACGGTATAATTAAAATAAATTAAATAAATAAATAGTTGATAAATAAAAATAGAAGCTTAAATTTATTTGCATTAATCAAAGATTAATTATATGTTATTTAATAGAGTCAAATGGTAATAATAAATAATTGTGATTCCTATAAGAATTAAATATAAAAGTATAATAATTATTTATAACTATTTCTCGCGTTTAGAATTCTTTCAAAATAATTTATAATATGACAACTTTATTTATGTGTATCTCTGTTCAGATTGAAAAATTATTAGAATTGATTACTTTTCTTTAGACACTGCATATCAATCGTCCCAGAAATAAATTATAGTACGCGGGGTATCATTCACATCGAATTAAATTGCGCAAGGTCGCCGCGAGAGACGAAAGTAAGGTCAGCTGATACAAAATCAATATCCCCCCCCAATTGTGTCGACCTGGTTGCATCAAGACCACGCCTCCGTTCTCAATTCTATTCGCACGTAAAAAAAAAGTGACAGGAGAACTGAGAAAGTTAAATATTTCTATTGTGCATCGCGCGATAAATATCTGCTTACCCTATCTATTTGTGTCCGCGAATTAGAATAGAGACTAGATATCTCGAGGAAAGATGGATGGCTGGAAGAGCTGGAAAGGATCGGAGAGCTGGTTTTTCTCGGCATGGTACCAACGCGTGAGAGAATCATACGTTGCAGCCTGGCTCTTCGGGGTGTTTCAGAGCAGTAGGACGATGTCGACGAGCACCTCCCCCAGCGGTGGAGGTGTCGGCGGTGCCCTCAGCCTGATGGGTTGCGTGAGGGAGGCCTCGCCGCCCCCTCAGACCCATTATTCGCACCATCATTATCATCATCATCATCATCCTCCTCATCAGCAGCAACAGCAGCAGCACCATCGCGCTTTCGGTCTCGGCGAATTCTCGACGGTTCAGCACAGCATCGACCCTGCTCCTAAAGGTCAGTACTTGAGTACTCTTAGCATGCTTTAACGTCACGTATTTATGCTGGAAAGTATTTCTGGAGAAAGTTGTAAGAATTATTGATTTAACTATAGAACATAATAAATATGTCATAATACGTAATTATATAATAAATATATATTATATAACTTTCGTATATAATAATAATAATAATATGATATTAAAAAATCGCGAGGTATCTTTTAATATTGTTTTTACTTCTTTGTGATTTCTAAAAGTTCGTAAATGATTGATATTAATATTATTTATCGATATTGCGATAACGTTTAATGTCGTTAATAATAAAATAATGTGCGCAAATTTTTTTTAATAATAGAATAATATAATGTAAAACTTAAAAAATTTCAATGATTACCGGCTGTATTTTCCGACTATCTGCCGCATTGTTCAAGTCGAAAGAATTTCCCAAAGGACCGTTTTATGTTGAATTCCAGAAGATAGAAATACGACAATGACGCATTGCCAGAAAAACTGCTTTTTCTCCTTGAAAATCAGATTCTTGGCATCGCTCGAAATCACATGATGTTTTCGAGAGGTGTATTACAGTAAATTTTAAATAAACAAGGCATATGACGAAACATATGGATTTCTCGAATTTTTCCACGCAGAGTTTAGACGATTTTCTATAAAAAAACAATTTGCGGCAGATGAAAATGAAATGTGTTTCTTAACATTTCTTTAATGTTGAATAGTATTCTTTTTTACATATATAATTAAACTTTCATTATTTGTTTTTTTATATGTTATTCAATATATATTATTTTATTGATATTTTATATACTTATATAAAAATTAAAGAGAATTGATTTACCTTTGGAAAAAATTATTAAATTATCATATTTTGATTTAATAATTTGACAAGTTAGCGTCACATTACGGTATTGTCTGTAACCCGTAATATTATATGAATACGAAGACGTCTTCCGCATTTCGAGCGAGGATGGTAAATCGAGGACGTCGTTAACGGTAATAAGAAGCGCGTACGTTTAATTAAGAACGGACAAAGATTAAAACAACGACGGTAGTTATGATTGTGACACGCGGTGAATTATATGATTTTTTTTTCTACAGTTTTTTTAGTGTGCTGGCACCATTGTTCGAAAGAACACGACCGCGGTTATATGTCATTACGGATGAATTTCCGGGTCAGACCTCTGTTATTTAATTAATTCCCGGTAAATTGCAAAGCTGCGAAGAATTAACTTGAGAAATAATTTCTTAATCAAGGATACGCGGGAAGAGCGGAGAGAAATGAAATTCAGAATTTCATGAATTCTCAATCAATTGATGGTCTTGACCGAAATCCTTTCGTTGATACATTAACTTTTGAAAGAATTTAAATTTGAATTCTTTTCGTGAAAAATTTAATTTACCACTCTTGCCTATTAAATATCAATTTAAACTTAAGAAAAAATAAAGTTTTTTCATTTTAGTATTTAATATATGTAAATTTTATTAGAGATGCCTTTAATCAGAAATAAAATTTTAAATAATTACAAGAAATTTTGATGTAATAAAGATCTTTTATTTGACAATTTTTCAAAATTTTTTAAATGCTATACAGTTCGATTATTCGATTACTGTTGATATATATAACATATATAAAGAATTCTATAATATTAAAGAATTCTATATAATTTTTGTAATATAATTTATTTCTTGAATAACTTTTTCCGTGAAAATTCATTCTTTTTTATATCCAATAATTTGCTATGACTGATGACAGGTATATCTTCTAGACATACTGCATTAGTCTTCGATATAACAAACGGATGTTCTCGTTACATATGACAGGCAGTCGAGAGCGAGTGATTCAAGCGTAGCATTATTTTTCGCGCTTCACCGATGCCAAAGCTATCGTTGAAGCATGTAAAGTGCACTCGCATAGAAGGTGTCAAGTACACAGTAAAGATCACTTCTGATCAAGCGTTTATTCTTCTCCCCTTTTGTCTCGTTATAGCTGGTTGATGAAGAGATATACGTAGATCGACTTTAAATAGCAGCATTATGCGGTATGAAATCAGATTGTGATAGATCATCTTTAAGTGCAACGTCATTATGTTACATCGAAATCGGAATACATCAATTTTAGATATTGAATAATATTGATTATTGTTTTTATAATTTAATATACATTTAATATAAAATAAATTAATGCTTAGGATTAATTTAATTCTCTGAAAAGTCCATTAATATTATAAGAAGAGATAGTATATCATAAGAGGTGTATATCATATAGATAGTATATCATATATATATATTAAAAATATGTGGATTATGTATAATTTCATAATAATTATAAATTCATAATTTCAATAAGGTCGCTTACATTATTATTATAATACTTAGAAGACAATTATTTTAGTCATTTTTTCATATTTTCTTTTTTGTAATTTCATTTATTCTATCATTTCCTATTTTTTTTATTTCGATTTCATTATTTCTCTATATCAGTATTTATTTCAGCATTATTTAACATTTGAATATCAGCGTTTAATTATTTAGCTTCACTGTAATTGCATATTTTAGTTTGTAAACACTTGTGTTATCCATGTACTATTTATCATATTCGTTTATCGCATAATACGACATAGATATAACATTAAACTCTTCAAGGTCGCCAGTAAATAAAATACAAGAAGTAATTAGAAACGACCACACTGGCAAATTTTATTAAAGTGAATCACGACGTTCCGACCATGGTTTTGGTCCTTTTCGAGTGAACTACAAAAAATTATTTCCAGTATTACACAAAAAAATAAATTACATTGATTTTGAAATAAAAAATGAGCGGCAAGTTAAATACATACAATAATTTAGTTAACTATTCTATCGTGAGAAATAAGGAAACGACATAGATATTTTCGAAAAATCGCACTTTAGTTGACCTATTTCGCGACGTATCTTATCGAGAGAATCTGTTCACGTATCTGCTAAGGAGTCCCAAATTTCCGTGCACATTAATATCAAAGATACCATGGTTCTCTCGAGAAATATTGGCGGATGCCGTCACGTCAAGTGATAAAGTCAATCTGCTTATAAGAGAGAAGGATGGATATGGGTCAGAATTGTGGGAAGGAATAGGAGAAAACCATTAAAGAGAGAGATCGAATATACTGGCGCGACGCTAGGCCCATACCTTATAAGGAGAGACTCTCCCAGTGATATGTCGGCCGATAAAGTTATCGAGGACTGAGTTTCTAATCTTATCACTTCATAATACCATTCCCATATACAGTGCGTTATTGAATTCGCAAGATCAGTCGAGTGTGAATAGTGTAAATGGATAATGTGAATTTCAGTTATAGTCATATTTATGAAAGGATGTCTTCTCTCGAGTCGTTCGAAGATTTCCTCGAAATCCTCGGTAAATATCGGTCGCTGCAGATTTCGCAAAGATCATAAAATTGTAAATTTTAATAATAATAATAATAATAATAATAATAATACTGTTAATTAATGTAGCACGCACATGTTGCGGTAATTCTCTTTAATGTCTTTTAGAGCACGTTGATTTTAATTCATAAGTTATTTACTTTATAAATGTCATATTATTTCATTTAGTTAATTTCAAATATATTTTTATAATATCATATATAATATTAGAATATCATAAAATTGTACCAAATATATTTTAATTATGTGAATGTGTCAAGTGACGTAATTTCCTTTATGATTATTTTCCGCTTGCAGAACCAAAGAAGCGCCGTTTTCATCCCCTACGCGGTCTCCGGAAGATTTTCCGGCGAAAGAGTCGCGGTGCGCCCGGTTCCAATTCAAGCGATCGGGATGTTGAATTAGCGCGTCTTTCGCGGGAGGAGACCACGACGAGGCATCCTGCGGGAAGTCCCGAAGAGGTTCGCAGTAGAAGCGCCAGCGAGCTCCTCACCGATGCCTGCGACCGAGAAAGGTAGGAAATATCTTCCTTCAGTCTCTCAATAGTAGTTGTTTAGAATTTAATCCTAGATTATCAATATGTTTACATTATAGTTTACCAATATGTGTAATATGTGTATATGAACATTTCATATATGATGTCATGTCCATTCAACAATTCCATTCCCCATCACCTATTCATTGAAATCAATTAGTTACGTTTACTATTGATTATGAATTAGATAGCATAGAAGTTTCACGATTAAAAGTGATAAAAAAGTTAATAGGAAATAAACAACTTGTTTTAACTAACTTTTATAGTTATAGAAAAAAAAAAGAAAGAAAAAGGATTCAAAAAATTTATTAATTATTATTGGGAAAAAATGACCACACTGTACTGTATTAAAATGCAGCTCACCAATATAATGATTGGATACTGGAAAAAAAAAATATTTAGAATATTAATTAAATATAATTGTTTAATAAAATAAAAGCGCTCGAAGGACCAACGCAATGGTGAAAAAAGCGAGATAAAAACAGTCCCATTAAAACAGGAACCCATCCAAACGTTTATTTGGTTCAAATGCTATTTAACTGTTTTTATCTTGCTTCTTTCACCATTGTGTTGGTCCTTCGAACCTTTTATGAAATTTTATTGATTTTATGGACCTTTATTTGATTATATTATTTATAATTATTTAAATGAATGTTTATGTTTTTCTTTTATGTGTTTTATATTTATATTAATTGAAAATGTGTTTTTACATTCTACGTAATTATGCTCATTATGTGCATAAAATATTTAAAGTTATATTTTTTTTTCTTTTATCATAAAATTTCACATGTGCGTCTATAACAAGCGCACGCTAATGAAAATTAGTATAATCTAGGATTAAGATAATTGTCAAAAATCGTGAAGATTATTATCAGTCAACCTTATTTTATAACAATAACTTTAATTATTACGTAGAAAGGATTTTGATAAATTAAAATCGGAATACTATAATTATCGAAATGTCAATACTTGCGACAACTTGCGAAATTTGTGTTATCTTTTCAGTGGACGAAATATCCGACCATCAAAAAGACGCAGTTTTATCACGTTTTTCAAAACACGCCGATTGTTTAAGCAGTAAATATCACAATATGTATTTTGGCATCAGTAGATCGTTGATTTTTATGGTTATCGCTTAAATTTCAGAGGAAATCTTAATTATCATCTTCAAAAATAATTTTGACACATAGATAATAATCATGCTTATAAGCTACTGATAGTAATTAGCTAATCAGCTAATCAGCTTATAATTCTTCGGTTATAAAGCGTTTTAAAATGGAAAAACTGTAGAGTGCAACATCTTTATCTAAATTTGTTTAAGAGTTAACAATAGTTTAAACTATATTAATCTTATATATACACATATAGTATTAGAATTTGCAGTTAAAGTTAAGATGTAAATATTATATAATGTTTTTTATTAATAATAATTATCGTTATTATTTTTGAGATACAAAATATTTTTCTTTAACTCTTTACTTTCTTTATAAACTTTATATAAAGTAAAGGATTAAAGAAAAATATTTTAATGTAATTTATAATATAATAATAATTTTAGTATAAAACAACGAATATAAAATGGTTTTATATTTTTCTCGGAATATAAATTGATTCGTAGCATTGGTTCATTATTAATTTATAATCTTTGACCTCGTTTCCGTGTCCCGTCAATTTTTATTCTTAGCCTCGTAGTATCTCGTAGCTTACGTAGTAATGCCAAAGGGGTGTACGATGATTTACATTGTGCGATATATAATCTGAATACTGTACAATGACGACGCGGTTTGCTTTTGCTCTAATGATCTTAGCGTATGGAACTTCACATAAAGACGGTACTGACGATTATCTGTCATCGTTGATGCGTGTTATTCCTGGCAAATCATTCATCGCCTTGATTACAAGTATTAATGGTAGCAAATAAATTTTATGCTAATCGTCAAGTCTGCATATGCTTTTTGTCTTCATTCTTTTGCAGTAAATGTAGAATAGATTTCTGCCGCATATACATGTAAAAAGGTATGGGATATATATTATGACTTTGATTATATCTTTGTATCTTTTATTGAAATTTTACACATTATGGTTATATAAATTTAAAAATTTGAAATATATTTGTACATATTGTCTATGTGGTTCTGTAGTTATTACGCAAATTTCAATAATTTAATTTATAATAACAATTTTTACTTTATACGTAAATAATATTTAAAAAATCAGAAATAAAAAACTTTTATTTCTTGAATTTTTAGCGTATTTCTCCGGAGAGGAGGAGCGGAGGATAACTTTGTTAAATTACGAGGAGGTGCCGGCAAGTTATCAGTGTCGCATGATAGCGTTTTCCCAGGAGAAGTTCCTCATACTCGACCCCTTTCCTCTCTGGCCAGCTTGACGACACTCGAGGTCAGTATCTTTATTTTCATATTCAGATGTCACGAATGTTCCATAAAATGTTCGAGCTGCTCTTAGAGCGTATTTCTCAAAGGACCGGTACGTGTCACAGAGATCGGATAAATTATTTAATTGAAACTTGAAACAAATATGTACTTGTATAAATATCCTTCAGAAGGATATTGAAAATAAAATTATTTACATTCTCGTAAAATTAAATAGAAAAAAATGTTATCATCCTTTTTTCAAATTTTTAAATAAATTTCTAAGCTTACGTTATTTATAGACAATAGCCCAATCACAGATTTCACGGTCATTATAAAAAATGAAACGATTACTCGAGCAATTAATAGATCCATCGGTGGATTATTTCCTGTACTTGAAAGATCAATCGAATATTAAAATGTTGTTCATAAGAAATACAAGAGAGACTCTCATAAAGTTTCCCTTTCTATCAGTCAGTAAAACTCGTGGCAACATTCGAATAATCTTTAAGAGCTCGTTAATTGTGATGCAAGTGCACGAGTATGTATTTTCTAGTATCATTTACATATCCGCGAATTATATACACGGGGATTCGCGAGTCGTGCTCGCTACCGCGTGAAGCGTGAAGCGGCCGCAAAAACAGCGATGCTTCTCTCTCGTCTCATCTCACTGACATCTCAGAAAGTCGCACAACATTCCAAGCACGCGCGAAACGAGTTACGCGGTTACACATGTCCACGATTGACTCGTGACTTGTCTCCTGATTTTTCAAGCGCGCGCGCGCGCACGCATGTGTGTTTACGCATGGGTAGATCAATCACCGGAATTATCGCGGAGTTGCATAAAAATGACGATGCGCCGTAGAGAGATGTAATTGATGAACAAGGCTAATTAACTCAATGTTTTGCATTTCCTCGAACGAGCGTGCGAATTACTTTCTTTTTCTTTATCCCGCTGCATATACCGTTACTTTCCTCCATTGATATTTCTTTCGCGCGAATGGAGATTATAATCTCCCTTTTTTTATTGTTTATATGCTCGGTGTAGCACATGTTGTTTATCATAACAGTTACATTGAAATATTAACAATATTTGGAGTAGTGTAATATATTAATAATATTTGGAGTAGTGTAATATATTAATTTAAGGTGTCTACTCCTTCGAAAAACATGAAGAATCTGAAATTTTTAAGGATTTTTGTATATCTGGAAAAAATTAATGAATTCTCACATATTTTTATTGAGATACTGTAGATTTTTAAAAAATATTCTCTTTGATAATTTTGCTCTTATAAGCAGTCAGTAATCCATATATATGTATTTAATGTCTTTTAACAGAATATATAAAATAGGAAATACTTTAATATTCTTTATTATAATTTTTAATGATATAAAAATAAAAATATTATGTAGATTGTAGATGTAAAAATTTATTTTACTAAGACTAAGCTATTCAGGTTTTTTCCAGTATTTTTTCAAATCTAGCACTTGAAACTAAAATAGCTCTTTATTTTTCTTTCCTATGTGTGAAGAGTTTATTTTAGAAAATTGCTACAAAAATCTCTAAAAAATTATTTCCCTTATCTGGAATTTTGAACAAAAAATCTGGAAGATTATAGAATTTTTAGATAATTCTGTTTGTAAAATTTGTGAGTAGACATCCTGTAATAGTAGAAATATTGTTTATAAAAAATATTTGATTTATAGATTTATTCACACATGATTTATTCAATGTTGATTCTATTCTGAAAAATGTAATTTACTATAATTAGATTCTATTTTTTGTATTCTTCAAATTTATATATATCGATAAATTATATTTCATACCTCAAGGATGATTACAATTTATCCGGTATACAACTTTGCGATGCAAGTATTAATTTGACTCTGGAAAGTGTAATTTTACGTATGATAAATTTTATTTTGTATATTCGCGAAATTTATACTCTGGCAAATTATATATCTTTCGATTAGTATCGGCGATAATTATATCTCAAATGTGCGGCTCAACGGCTGCAATAATTGCAATCGATAATTATCGGAATACCACGAAATGTAGGACGATCCTTTCTATTTTCGAGAGAAAAAAAATGAGAAGAGCACGTTCCGTCCTGATACTTGTGAGGAAAGTCTCCTCGAATAGTTTTCACGTGGAAAATTCTGGCACGTAAAAAAAATCGCGAGAAGATTCAATTTCATTTCATGAATGTTTTCTTTTATCTTTTTTCAGCGGAGGCAAGCTAGGAAGAGTAACGAGATCATCGAGCACAAGGAGTACAATCATCACGCTGCACAAAGGCACCGGATATCCCTGCGGGTAAATTCGCGGAAGCTTTTAACATACTTTTAAAGCTCATAAATCTACATTCGTAAAATTCGCGACTGCTCTTGATGCTTTTAACGATAAACATTTCACGCGAAACGCATAACAATCTTTATCGTTGTATTTTTTTTTGTCAGAAACATATTTTCTACCTTTAATAGAGCACTAAAATATGCCGTGTTTCATGCTAAACATACATGCTAAAAAGAAAATTTCCGTTTTACAATACAGCGAGACATTCCCTTTAAATGTCATCAGGAAAATAAAAAGAAAATAGAAAGTCTTATACATATTTTTCGAATTACATTTTCATGGCAAATAATAATTTTGACAAATGACACAATCGTGTATACACAACATATGTATAACTATTTACCGCTTACACGTGATTTGTTCGCAGGTACTCGAACAAATCAAGACGGTCATAGAGAACCGGAATCAGCTGGCCTCCGGGACCTCGCCAGAGACAGCCAGTATAGCGCACGTAAGTATCTAGATTAATTCGTTAGATCAAAAGCGCAAGTCACAATCTCCGCCGACCTGTTGATCTCTTGGACGACAGATACGTAGTTTGACTGTTCCTTATCGGACAAATTTATTTAAAGAATTCTCTTATGTGTGTGTGTGTGTGTCCAGTTATATATATGTATATTTTTTTAGAAGTATTATTATCAAAATTTAATTGTCATTTACTAAATTCCTCTTATATTATTATTATGATTATATATTTAATTTGTGTATATAATTTCTTAATTGTACACATTTCTTATTATTATTTGGTAAATGATATGCAATGAAAAGAAACTTAATTTGTTTATGTGTCTGAAACGGCGAATGACTTGAGATCTCGCTAAGATTCGCGCGCGAAAGAAAGCCGGCTCTTTAATAAAGACAGAAAGCACGGCGCAGTGATAGCCCCGATCCGCATAATTACCGCGCGTTTCACCCATTTTTTCTAATACGCTGTATACGCTCGATGTATAAGTGACGTCACGTTTCGCTTTTGCGTTTCAGCAGACTGCCGGCGAGCGGTATCAGCAGGAAACCACCGAGGTGAGATAAAGCGTGCGACGCGAGAGCGTGCATTTTCCTCACGTATCGACGTTAGTACGTTAGTTTCGATCCACAGCCGTCTAGTATCGCCTCGCACCTTACGAGATAGTGCCATTATCGACGTCGATATTGTCAACGATTTGTTATATTCTCAAGAGCGGCCGCTTTGTCTCGATATCATCCTCCAATTTTTTTTTCGAACGATGACGTAACGCCAGCGACATATCAAAGTGGGACACGCGAGTGTTGTGTGCAAAGTGACGTGTAATTTTTCTATCAAAATGAACCGCGATACAGGTCGCCCGAAATCCGTGCGGAAGATGCTCCATCGAGTGTTGCTCGTGTCCTCGATCGTGTCAACCTTGAGGGCCAGGATCGGGGTAAGAGGAGGAAGGGAAGAATAATCTCCTCGCAACTCCTCCGGGAACTTTCTCCGTTCGTTAAAAAATCGCGATCTCGCCGCCGCGGTGACAGTCTGTCATCGACTTTCATTCCTTACGTCACACTTAGCCTCTCGTGCGCGGTAAAAGTATATGTACCGGTTACATACGTACATATGTATTCCAACTGGTAAAATAATCCGTGAATAATTGACCGGTCTCTCTTCGGAAATTCGAGACGCGTTTACGATTCGCTCGCGGCATCGAGATTATTACTCGCTAACATTACTCATCGGGATCGAATAAAGCGCGCTTTAACATACGATACTCCCATTGTGTATCATAGTGAAATAATTAAACAGATTGTTCTCCATTTTTAGAACCGTTTCACCGTATTTGACAAACATGGAGAGAGGAATAGCGAGAGAGAGGAGCAGGCAAAGGTGAGTACACGAAACATCTCCTCAATTAGTGTGTATTCTTTATCGTTTTCGCCATTCATCTTACTATATATTATAAAAAAAGGGCCTCCTTTGGTATCAACTAATGAGATCTTAAATTAATCGATAAATCAACCGAATTTCTGCAACAGGTGGCGAATCCGATAAAGATCCGTTAATCTCTTCTATTATAATAAATCTTTTGTACATGCACTGCCAACGAATCGAAACATGGAAATAATCGTTTATGTTGATTGCGAGATACAACTCGCATGCAGTCGAGTTTGCATTATCCACCTTGGATGCGGGTGCACTCGGTCTATAACGGGAATTTTTTAAGGTCGTCGTTCGACCGAAAAAGCAGTAACATTCCTGTGCGGGAAATTTGTTTTTCTACTGATACTTTTATTTCATACAACACGTGAAACACAGGGTATCTCCGTTATAAAGTCTGCATTAAAAAAAAAACAAGAGAAACCGGACAGACGTCGTATAGTTATTAAAATTCCCGAAAAGATAGGAGCAAAAATATGGCTCCATTAATGAGGGAAGCTATTACTAGCTCTTTGCGGTCTGTGTGGCTGTATTGACATCGTTTATCAGCGTTTCGATAAAGTCAAACTGAACTATTGTTATTATTATATTGCGCGTTTAAAGTTTTCCATATAACATCTTTTAAATGTTATATATATTTTATCATTGTTATTTTTTACTTGACATAAATACGACATGTCACATAATTTATGGCTATTCTTCATATCGTTTTCCAAACGATCGGAGTATAATTTTATATTTCAATATATGAAAACTACATTTTTGACATTTCTATAAAATTTCGAAAATAAAAATTATTAATTACTGATTATATCTAACTGATTATTATCAACATTGTTACATCAAAATTATAATAAAGTAGTAATATTAGTCTGTTTGTAGAAATTAGTTTAGAGGTCGCAAATTATTAGTAATGTTAAATAATTAATAACTAGTATGACAATATGATTACGATTTAATAATACGAGTAATTAATAAATCACCATATGATTATGATTAAATAATTATATATATATATATATATATATATATATATATATAATCATATTTATATTACTATTTTCATATCATATCATATATGTATATATATATAAATATATATATATATATATATATATATATATTACTTTTATTTTATTACTGACGTATAACTCTTTAAAACTTTATTTTCCGACATGGAGAAGTAAATTTATTTTTAGTCTTTTAAAGAACGAAAAATAATCACAAACATACACGAATAAGGGGGAATAATGATTACATTCTGGGAAATCCAAGTTTATCATCGCGTCTAACGGTAGATATTTTTGGCTCGTGACACATTTACAGATCTTTCGACACACAAAAGCAAGCGTCCTGCAAAATATAAGACAATAAAGATGGGAGGAGCGGGAAGGGGAGAGAAAGAGGACATTGTGAGAGGGCGAAAAGGAGTAGGAAAGGGAACGAAGTCGAACACGGGAATGCGTCCCTTTTACGGCATCCTCTCCGTTTGTTTCGACTTCTCTCTCGTGCGTTCTCTGCTCGCTCCATTATTTCCGTCTGCTCTCTCGGCGATGAATCTCCGGTGGCTATTATTGCGGGCTTCATGACGGACGACAACTGTTTAAAACAATATACTCGGTTTGTATCGTTTCGAGTCGCTGTTCGCAAAATCGTCCTCTTTGTGGCGACACTCTCTGACTCAGTTTTCGAGCTATTAAAACACGCCTATTGTAGTTTCGTCGTTACCGCTGTATTGTTGTTAGAAAGTCAATAGGTTTTTTTTAGAAAAAATTTATTTTAGCAATTATATAAATTGTTATAAGAAATTTTTCTAACTTATATGCGATTTTAGAATTGAATACTAAATTTTTAACATCAAGTTTTTTGAAAATAACATCTATCATTAATAATTAGAAATTCATCACTTTATATGAAACTCGAAATAGATAGGATATTATTATAAAAGTATCATATATTGTCTCTTTCTCCACCGTGACTTAAAAAATAAATAACATTTAAAAATAAATCGGTTAAAAATAAATCAGTCAGAAATAAATAAGTTAAAAAATAAAAAGCAACAAATGAACAATGAAGATTTAAGAATTAAAATTTCGATGACTTGAGATAAAATCTGAGCAAAAATCTGAAAATATTAACTCGCAGTAATATTATATTCGGGTACATTCTTTCACATTGGTCTCAAATTAATGAGCCAACAGCAATCTAAAAGATGAAAACGTTGAAGACTAGAATATAGTCAAAAGATTCAGGGGAGGGACGCGAACATTGTTTCGATAGCGAGCATAAGAACAAATATGTAGAAGTGAGAGAAGGAGTGAGCGCGATACAAGGTTTACTGTTACTTGGCCCGTGGCCTGTGGACAGATCAACACGCCGAGCGTTTCGTTGTGCTTGCTCGCTCCTTGCTTGTTGGTTCGCTTTCGCTGACGGATCGACAGACGCAGACGGATTGGCAGGATACGATGTAAATTTATTGTACCCCAGAAAGAAAATATTTACTATCCGATAAAAGCGCATTTAATAACGTAGATCGAAGGTATTTTAGATTTATTGCCATCATTTATTAATTTCGAGTCGATTTTTCATCAATAAATCAATATGAAAGGTGTTTCAGTTAACTTTCATACGTTGTTTAATTTTTAGGAATTATTCATTAAAATTCATTGCAGTAAAATTTAAAAACATAAAAAGAATAAGTATTTTTCAATTTTGTGTATTTTTTAAGCTCTTTTTAATTTAATTGAGAGAGAGATTTATATTAATCATCAATATATTTATAAAATGTGGCATAATCTTTAAAAAGTTATGCCACTTATTACTCATGAAGTGATGTATCAAATAATAAGCGCTATTTATAGATATATTTGAGAATGAAGCTATTAGTTGACAAAAAGCTGTTAGAATTATTTTTAGATATTTTCTCTTTTTCTCTAAGAAAACGACTGTCAATTTAAGTAATCAAGGTATCGATTAAAACGAAAGAAGGATATTCAAAATGTTTCTTGTCGCACAGTTTTTTCGTCAACAACTCTGTCAACCTTACAATTTTAATAGGAAAACCATATGATTGCTTGGTCTAGGTACATATTGCTATCTAACATGATCGGTAATTGACAATTTAGTAAGAAGCCTGAGTCTCTACTCAATAAGATGATATCTCATTGAAATATATGTCGGTAAAACGGTTCAGGACTGGTGATCATCCGATGATCACTGTTGTCGCTCTGGTAACCAGTGGTAGATGGCAGAACTCGTACATTCACCAAGTCGTCACAAGTACAGCAAGTGCAATACTATTTGCGAAAGAGGACGTTAGTTCATCTTTAATATTGCGATTTATAACGCGCGGTGTTTCACTTACAATTAGATAATTTCGAAATGGTTATATGAAGATAAAATACATTACGAGATCTTAGAAAAGATGAAGATGGTCCTGCTTCAAATTTATGTAAGTAAAAAATAAAATAGAAAGATTTAATTAAACAATCTCTTAGGATAATATCGCTTTTAAGGACAATTTATGACATAAAAGCAATATGTGTGTGTATGTGTAGTAATCATATTATCATTTATAAGTTTTTATTTTCTTTTAAATGTGTTGTTTGACAATCAATTTCTATTTGTTATATGTTTTTTTTTTTGCTATTCTTAACTAAAAAAGCATTAATGATTTAAAAGCGAATATTTAAAAATTTTAAACTTTGCATAAATATTAATTTTAAAAGTATTTAATAAGGTATTTAAAGTTATATATATATATATATATATATATATATATATATATATATATATATGTTTATGTATATTGGGATTCATATTTATATAATTATAATTAAAATTGATAAATTTAAAAATGATGACGAAATTAATAGGAATGTTAAAATTAAAAAATTTTTATATACATTTTAAATTTCTTAACTTTGACACACACACATATTAAATTCACCGATCTAAAAGAAACTTTTAGCTTATATAAACATTATTGAAAATTATTTAGTAGATTTGAAATTCAATGATCTAATTCACAACTCTTCTGTAATAAATTTCCATTTTTTGTATCATCATGAATATATTTATTAATCATAGTCAATACAAATTTCTTTTAAAAGCTGGAAGATTTTAACATTGTACTTTAAGCAATAAAAGTTTTTGCACATATATCGTAGCTATAATAAAACAAAAAATATATTAAAATTGTTTCTTGCAACTTTATTACAAATTTTTCAAAATTGTGACAACAGGATAATTTGTAAATTAGAATCGTATATCAATTTCAAAAACTATAAAAAGTCTTCAATTAATCTTTCTTTTTTTCAATTGTTTTTATCCTTACGATTTATTAGTAGAGTAGTAGAATAATCTTTATCATTACAGATGATATGCATTAATGATAATATCATAACAGTTATTGATCTCATCGATTGCATAATTTACTCATGATATATATACACTAATTTTTTTAACAAATGAATCTAAATGGACTTTCTAAGCATTACATAAAGCGTCGTAATGTTCGCAATGATGTCTTGGGTGCACTCGAGCGAGTAAATGCTTGTATACGTAGAAAACGAATAGAGTAGTCTTGTTTTACTGCCGATCGATCGATTGATGATTACACGACATGCTTAATAACATATCGAATTTTCATCTTTTTCTTCTTTTTTATAATCATTATCGTAAATTTATGTCTCTATCGATTGATCATAGTATGAGCATCGATCAAAAAAGGAATATTAATAATTCTCTTTAATACATCTATTATATTTATACATATACATATTATATATATATATATATATATATATATATATATTTGTAGTTATTTTATACTTACGTGCTATTTTGCGAATATTACACGTACCGTACGTTAGCGGCATAACAAGTTATACAGCTTTTAACTCATTTCATTATCATTTCATTATACATATCTTGAGTATAATTCAGGA